CAAGCTGGTAAAGCCCTGAAATAAATCATTGCACTCTCATGGCTCATCTCTCCTGGAAGGGTCCTGTGGTTTGTGTGGGACTCCTGCAGATGCTTGTGGACTTGGTTCTTGTGGCTGGTGTGTGCGAGCGGCAGCACATGGGGATGTTCAGGACAGCGCAGGAAGCGACGGCCGCGTCCTCCTGCTGCTGAGGGAGGGGGGTGTGCATCTAGGTGCTGCGCACATCTGTGTGCAGTGCCACAGCCTGACACCGTGCCTGGCAGCCCCCAAACTCAGCAACACTGTTCTGGTGTTTGTTGCCTTTCTGCCATCAGCTGGCTCTTTCTTCCCAATGAAAATGAGAAAAACTGTAACATGTTTGCTTTATCACGTTGTCACTGCTGTGGGGTTGTTTTTGTTTCATAAACTGCCAGTTTGACATTCTGGTAGATATCAAGGCCTACAGATAATTCCAATGTCTCATTTTGTGGCTTTACAAAAAAAAAAATAAAGCCTTTTTGTTGTATGCCATTTTGTACAGGCTCCTGAATGTGATTTCACAGTGTTACTGCGTTGTGTAATTCTTGGGATGAGATTTACCAACTTTTTTAACTGTAGACAACACATTTTTGACTGAGTTATCTTTGGGCCTTTGTAAAAGCTGTGTTGTTTTCCTTTGGTACGTTGTTACCTCATTTTCCTATGTGTATTTCAGATTTGCTAATGATAATGATAGCTTATGGGTTTTGTTGGAATAGTATTTTGTCAAGTGTTTTCTTTAAATCATATGCTGTTGTGTCATTTAACATGTAGTTTTAAATGTATTATAAATATCTGTAACCAAATCATTTGAAGGCTTGATAAATTTTTAACAAAATTTGTACATTTTTTATGAGAGTTACTAGTAATGCTTTACTAGGTAGTGCAATGAATTATTTTTAATCCCTGTGCCCAATTTCGGAGTTGAGAGAGTTGTTCAGTAATAAATGTATGACGTACACTTACACAGCTCTGTCCTGTTCTTTCTCTTAGGAAGAGATGCACTGTCATGGCGCAGTGAGAGGTATTTCCTCTCTTTGCTCTCATTGTCTGTGCATGATCACACAACTCTAGGTATTGGCCACAGACACGTGACAGGGAAGTTTTGCCACCTTAATCATAGTGCAGGACAGACCTTTTTAATCCTCTTTGGGAGATCATAAGAAAACCATATAACGTGTCATACTCTTGAAACTGTGGAAAAACTAGAACTCAAAGTCTTGCCTAAACCATCAGCTTTCTGAAGATATTACTAGTCAAAAGGAAACGTGCAGGAATTGAGGCACTCCTTAGACTTACTATTTGGCTGTCTTTTCAGCTGAAGATGCGCGGGTTACACTTTGCAATGCCATAACGATGGTTAAAAAGGCATCCTGAGCAGAGGATGAAACTGAATTGTAGGAAGTTTCATTAGGCAGGGCCACACAAAGCTGGTGATGAAACAAGAAGTTTGGTTTTGGTTTCAATGAGATTATGTAAATTATGTTGACGAATGTAGTTATTTAAAAGATTTTCATTTATACAGCTTCCTCAACAGCAGGTGATGGTGGTGCTCAGACCCATTTGAAGATCCACTGGTGTCGGTGATGCTTGTAGAGCCTCAGTGACAATGATGAAACATGACAGGCCTGGTGACTGGTTACACCTGATAATGGCAAGGCCCTGAGGGCAGAGCACGGCTTCCTGGTGAATAGTTTAGAATAGCTTAAGTTGGAATTGACCTATAAGGTTCACTGAGTCCCAACTCTCTGCTTCTCTCAGGACTACCTAAAACTAAGCCATATGGCTGAGAATGTTCAGCTGCTCCTTGAATTCTGACGGGTTTGGTGCCAGGACCACTTCCCTAGGGATCCTGTTCCAGTGACCAGCCACCCTCTCAGTAAAGAATCTGTACCTCATTTCCACTCTGAACTTCCCCTGGATGCTGTTTCCTTCTGTTTCCTTGTGTCCTATCACTGGTCATCAGAGAGAGCAGATCAGCAGCTGCTCCTCTGCTGCTCCTCTTGAGGAAGCTGTAGACTGCCATGAGGTCACCCCTTAGCCTTCTCTAAGCTGAACAGACCAAGTGACCTCAGCCGCTTCTTGGAAGTCTTGCCCTTGATGTCCTTCTATTGAGGCACCCAGAGCTGTACCCAGAACTTGAGATGAGGCCACACTAGTGCCATGCAGGGTGGCCAGTCACCTCCACCAACCAGCTAGCTGTGCTGTGCTTGATGCACCCCAGGGTACAGCTGCCCTTTTGACTGCCAGGGCACACTGATGACTCACATTCAACTTGCCATCAACCCAAACCCCAGATCTCTTTCCATGGGGCTGCTTTCCAGGCTCACACTTCCCAGTTTTTGTGTATAACCAGGATTACCCCATCCCAGGGGGAGAACTGGCACTTTCCCTTGTTAAATTGCCTATGGTTAGTGATTGCCCAGCTCTATGGTCTACCCAGGCCAATCTGTAAGGCCTTTCTACTCTCAAGGGGTACCACAGCTCCTCCTGGTTAGCAGTGAACTTAAATGTGTGTTTGACATATCCTGGTGATTCTTGTGGGGTAAATATAAGGTATAGAACAAACATGCAAATAGATTGAATACTGATGATCTGCAAATGTCACATAAATTCTGTGTCTATCTTCTGTGTATTTTCAAGGTCTACCTAGTCATGGTATGTATTCAGTATTACATGCACAGTACTGGCCATCTGCAGCCAAGTAATGCAAATTGAGATTGGGGGGAAGCTTGTATGCTATGAGCAATAGGGAACCCAACATACATGTAGCCAAAGCTACAATCTTGTGCTCCAGTTCAACAGGATAAATACTGACAGAGAAAAATCATTATGTATTAATTATTGAGACTGGACATTAAAGAGGGAGAAGAGTGCTGTAAGCTAAGGAACTGTGTCTGTCCAAAAGCAAATGGATGCAAGTTATGTGTGTGTGTGTGTGTATGCTTAGGAGACAAATTAGAAAAAATGTCCCAAACAGCTTTCCAGCTAGAATAGTGTGATTCAGAAGCACTTTTAAGAACTTAAATTCCTTTATGAAAGGGTTTATGTGACGTTGTTTCCTGTGATTGCAAAGAGTTGGCCTTAATGAGGTCTCAGGAAAATGTTCAGATTTTGGTACAATATCAAAGTCTTAAAAGAAGTCCTCCTTCTCTTTCCCCTGAACAGAGCAGTGGGATTTTATGTTGAGAGCTTCTTTCTGGAATGATCTCAAATATGGACAGTCAAAATGCAGTGCTGCCAATTTCCAGGGAAATCCAAGTAAGAGCAAGGTATTCAGACTGCCAAGCAGAGCTGACTTTTCATGTTACTCTTTTCTCCACCACAACAACCCATCCATTGGACCAGATGTGCTGCATCTGAGGGTGCCTTTTGTTAAACAGCTCCCTGTCAAATTAGAAATCTCACAGACTGGGAGAGGTCCCAAACAGCTGGAGAATGTCAAACCTTCCACCAGCCTTCAGAAAATACTGGATTGATGCTCAAAGAAACTACAGGTTGGTCATGCTCACTTTGGGAAGGTTATGGAGCAACTCCTCCAAACGCATATTTCTTTGCACATCAAAGAGGAGGTGCTATTGTCATGTATTTACCAAACGTAAATCATGCAGACTGTGTCTGCCTCTACCATGCTTTTTTTGTGACAAAGCAGCTGGATTTATGCTTGGAGGGAGAATGGAGGTGCCTTTTGTCCCCACTGTGGCAAGGCTTTCAGCACTGTTTGTTACAACATTACATCCAGGTTGGATGAGTGGAGAATTAGATGGATAGAAAACTGGTTGGGTGGTCTCTTCTCCCTGGTAACAAGTGATAGGAGAGGAGGAAATGGCCTCCAGAGGAGGTTTAAACTGGGTATTAGGGACAGTTCCTTTCCTCAAAGGGTGGTCAGGCACTGGAAAAGGCTGCCAATGGCAGTGGTGGAATTGCCATCCCTGGAAGTGTTCAAAAACCATGTAGATGAGGCCCTCAGTGACATGGTTTAGTGGTGGCCTTGGCAGTGCTGGGGAATGGTTGGACTTGATCTCAAAGGTCTTTTCCGGCCTAGTTGGTTCTGTGATTCCACAACTCTTGCATCCAGATTATCTATACAAACATTAAAGAGGACTGGCCATAAAACTGAGCCCTGCAGAACTAGTTTACAAGATGAGCCGAAGTGAAGCTGACATCAGCTTACCTGCTGCGTCTGTACCAGGATTTTGTCCCTTTCTCTCTGGATGCCATTCGCTGACAACTCCAGCAAATGTGTGTGTGCTGCAAACAACTTCTGTGGTGCAGCACCGGCCTGTGCAAGATTCTGGGCACCAGGTTAATCACAGGCAGCAGCCAAATCCAATTCCTGTGAGCTCTGCTGGATTAGGCAGTCTTCCCAGCAACAGAAAACTGCTATTTCTGGAAACAGAATTAATCTAAACTCACCATGTACTATGTGTACAAACTGTATGGTTTGTACTGTGGAAGGGGCATGTTTTGCAGTCTGTCACGGTGTTTATTGCCTGTCTTCATACTGGAATCATCCTCCTGGCCTTCCCTTGATTTGCTTAAACAGCTCTATGTTGTTCTCATGTTGGGGACACCAGAACTGCACACAGTGCTCATTCCGTGGCAGCAGGCAGAAGTGATTTTTGCAAGAACTCCATGCCTGAAGCAAGAGGTATTATCTGTCCTAATCTGTTAAGAAAAGAACTCATTATATGCCTTGTAAATCTTTCCCAGGGTATCAGAAACCTGGAGCACACACAAGATTTGCTCATGCTGATTAAGGAGGATATTTCTTAGGAATCCATGTGTACCAAAGCCTGCCTTTCCGGGGATTGCCTCAGAAGTGGGTTTTGGCAGTTATCTCTCCAAAGTGAGTGCATAACTTTGCTTCTGATGGGTTTTGCATCCCCCTTGAGAAGGCAAATCTCAGCAAGAGCTTCAGAAACAGATGGTCTGTTGCTGACATATGACAGCTTGGTTGCTTGAATTTCTACTGTCAGTTCATGGACTATTGGGTAGGTGGCTCTACAGAAAGGAGAAATGGAAAGATATGCTTGCATTTTGATCTAGTTTTAGGACCGTAGCACAAAACTGTCAGCAGTACAGTGAGTTCTACATACCCTCATCCTTCCTCCCCTATGCCTTCCCCCATCCCAAGACAGTGCTGCCCCTCAGCAGTGGCAGGGTCACTGGTTATTGCTGAGCTGAACCAGTTTCTTGGCACTTGTGGCAATGAGTGCACAGCACAGACACAGCTAAGGACAGTACTGCTGCCAAGTTGTCTGCTTGTGACTCTACAGTGTGCAGACAGCTCTGCATTTCTGCCACATGGTTCACCTAGTCCAACTGTCTGACCAGTTCAGGGCTGACCAAAAGTCAAAGCATTGTTGTTAAGGGCATTGTCCAAATGCCTCTTCAACACTGACAGGTTTGGGGCATCCACCACCTCTCTAGGGAGCCTGTTCCAGTGTTTGACAATCCTCTCTGTAAAGAAATGTTTCCTAATGTCTGAATCTCCTCTGATGCAGTTTGAACCATTCCCACAATTTATACTTGTGTCCAGTGCTCCTCTGTCCCAGGTGCAGAATCCAGAATTTGGACCTGTTAAATTTCATCCCATTCATTCATTGCCAAATGCTCCAATCTATCTAGATCCCCCCTGCAAGGCCCCTTATACTGAGAGAGAGCCAACAGCACCTCTGTTAGTATCATCAGCAAACTTGCTAACAGTACGTGAAACTCCAGACCGTTGATACAAACTTGGGACATCACTGGCCCTAGAACTGAGCCCTGAGGAACACCACTGGTGACCAGTGGCCAGCCACATGTAGCCCCATTTACTACAATCCTTCAGGCCCTGACCTTCAGCCAGTCCACCACCCAGTGCACCATGAGTCTGCTCATCCCACAGCTGGACAGCTTCTCAGAAGGATGCTCTGAGGGACAGGATGAAAAGCCTTACTGAAATCCAGAACAACTACAGCCACCACCTTCCCTTCATCCCCTACATGGGTGACCTTATTGTAGAGGGGTATCAAGTTAATTAAGAAGGATTTTCCCACTGTGAGCCCATGCTGACTGTGCCTGGGGATTGCATTGTCCTTTAAATGCCTTTCAACAGCACCCAGTATGATCTCTTCCATAATTTCTCCAGGTACTGAGGTCAGACTTAACAGGTCTGTTGTTTCCTATGCCTTTCTTCATGCCCTTGCTGTAAATTGGAGTAACACTGGCCAACTTCAAGTTAGCAGAGACCTCCCCAGACTCCCAAGACCTTTGGCAGATGATGGAGAAGGGTTCCGCTGTAACATCCACCAGTTCCTCCAGCGCTCTGGGATGAATCCCATCAGGCCACATGGATTGTGAGCATTCAGCCGGTATAAACTGGTTCTGTACAGTGCCCGCAAATGGAAAGTCACTGTTCCTGCAGTCTTGGTTATCTGACTCAGAGGACTGGGCAGCCCAAGGTCTATCATCTGTATTAACAATTGTGGCGTAAAAAGAATGGATTGCCTTTGCTTTTCTTCATCCCTATTTGTCAGAGATACTTTGATTTTCAGTGTTTTAAAATATGTGTGTTGAAGGAGTCTGCTAGTACGCAACCAACTCAGAAACACTACAAGAAATACAAAGTTTTCATAATGTCCTAATTCTCTTTTATAACACACGCTATCTTTCCATGATGTTGCAGAAAGCATAGTTTGAAAGGTAGACGTTTGAGAGTTTATCTTACTTAGTAAAATTAGTAAGAAACCTATGCACCAAGACATTTCTGATAGCCTAGAATGATTTCCCATATTTTTAAATGAAATAGTGAGCAATTGAGCCGCAGAAGAATTCCTGTTTTCATTTACTTAATGGAAAAGCTAGAACACAAAATACCTCCAGTACCAGCACAATTAGGACCTTCAAAATTATATTGTTTTTCAGGAAAATCAAACTTGAACATGAAAATTGAACTGATGTAGCACTAATGTTTTTTCTAATCTACATAAAACTAGATTACAGGAAATATACAGACACATACAAAAGATTCCTGAAAGTTTGCTTGACTCAGAATAAAGTAGTGCTTCCCTGCATGATCCCTCTGCAAAGGGTTAATGCTGATTGCCTGGGGGGCTGTTGAACAGGGGAGCAGATGCTGCTGCTGACCAAAATCGGAAGTGAGCGGGATTTAGAAACTTGGGTCCCCTCTGACGCTGTTTCTAAGAGATCTGCTGACATCTACTGGCTTAGTGCTGCAGAGATTTCAGCACAAACTACCAAAAGTAGCCCAATAGGTGGTATTTTGACCAATGATTCTGTTTGCTGTGAGCAGTTACTCTGTGTCGTCCCAGTGATGTGACACCAGCCAGGCAGCATGTGACAGTCTTCCCTGGTGCTTTCAGCAAATGCTAGCTGTGGATGCTTAAGAAGATAAGAACCATTGTGCAAGGTTCATCAGCCTGCTCATGCCTGGATCCAAGAGTGAATAAAATCAACTGGAAGGACACCCTCTGTGCTCCTGAATGCAGGACATGGGGTCAGCATGCTGTGTACTTGGTATGTGTCCTGTGAGCCTTGCTGGAGTCTCATCTCTTAGAAATCCTTGCCTTTAGAGCATTTTCACTTGAAGGAGTTGGGGCATGTAGGCGATCCCTAAAGGCATGTTTCTGGAGCTGGTTCCTCATGGTGAATGACATGGGTGGCTTGCCAGTGCTGCAGACACAGTGTCTCAACTGGTAGGAAGCAGTTATTTCATTTACCTCTGTAACGAAAGTAATGCTTAGCCAGAAATGCTTGGGGCTGGCATAAGTATTTGCCAGTGTCATGAGGGAGTGAGTGCTTGACATGATGTGTTTTACAAGCAAAGAAGAAAGATTTGGTTTTTGCTTTGTGGTCTTTGTCAGTCTTTGCTGCAGTAAGCTGGTACCTGTGCATGCAGATGCTCTGGACTGGGTCCCAGCTGCAGAACAGGACACTGGCAACAGCTACAGCTCTGGAGCTGGCTTATCTCGTATTTACTGGGAGGCTCTGTTGTAACATTAATGCACGGAGGGCATGGGGCAGCATTGCCTATGTCTTTGTTGTTTTCACCATAGGGTTCCCTGTTCCTTATGAAGGTGGTACTAATCTGCACAGCTTTCTGAATGTTAACAGTTTAACCACCAGGAGCAGATGAAGTGTGAAAATCCTCCTGTTCATCACTACTGGCCTTAACAACCCTCATAAACTGAATGTTTCAGTGACATACTTCTCTGTATGGAAAGCCAGCTGGATACTGACATCTGTTTTTTACAGGTGTTGTCATGAAACTATTTTATTTCATTTTGATTTCATTTTGTTGCTGTGTAGGAGCTCATGGCATTTTGCTTGAAGGATCTAGAAGACAGAACAGAGCAAGAAGCTGGTAACAGAAGGAGCATAGAGCAGGGTGATCTGAAGGTAAAGCGTGGTTTGCTTTTCCGCTGGTCATTTTCCAAGGAGAAACATTTTGTTTTCTCTGTAGCTATTCAAAGACCCAGAGAGCTACTGCTTCTCAGGAAAAGAGTGTATTCCCTGTATTCATCGCCACATATTGCTATCAAAAGGAGAGAAGAGGAACAGAGTCTCCAGAAGCCTGGCTCTCACACCCTGATTAGCCAAACACCTCTGGAAGAACAATGTCGGAATTTTTTGGGGTGATGAATAATAGTAAATAGTGATGAATAGTAAATAGCCCCAGCTATGGATGTTATTTCAGCTTCTGTGATGTAAGCTGCATTGCACTGAACTGCATTAGTGAATAGTGTGGCTTCAGATTTGAGTAAACACCACAGCTCTATTGATTCTGTCTTAAGAATGGGAAGGTATGCTAAGCTCCACCATTTATAGATCATGAAATGGCTTTTGCTTTAAGGAAAAGGATCTCTGTTACAGAAAATTGGTCAGAACTGGTGGGAACTCTGCAGAAGTTTAGGACATTATGCTTTAATGTTACTTTATTTTGGAAGTTTTCCTACACCCTCCCTCTCAATAGCTTGCTTTAAAAGAAGGCAAATTGTTAGTGCTGAAGGACCAGGTCTGCTGCTTTTAGCAGTTAATACCCGACCCTGTTACATTCTGGCTGAAAACAGCATTTTCTGCATAACTAAACATCTTGGAACCTGCCCTCGAGCTTTTCCATCCAGGACATCACCAGGTAAATCCTGGCAGCACTCCCTTAAAGGGCAAGCACCTGTTTCTCAAGAGATCTTTCAAATCAGTAAAATCCAACCAAAACATAACATTGAAAGCCTGGGAGATAAATGCCTGAAATGGTTATAGTCTGTTGAGTATGGAAGGATGCTTTTCTGCTTCATCTATAGGCACATGCCACTATGAGCAAAAGACAGCTGTCGGTAACTGAGCTCCAGTTACTTCTTTGGGAAGAAGGGAGTCTGGCACACTTCATTGATGTAAAGTCTGAGCAAGCCCTGGAAACACATGAACAGCAGCTGGAGGCCTGTCAGGAGAAGCTTGCAGCCCTAGAGGCCTTCTCGCATCAGACCAGACAAATACAGCAGCATGCTGATCCTATTCAGTTGCTGGAGGTGGTATTGTATGGTCTCTTTCTACCTCGTATTCTCAAAGTAAACTGTTCTAGTCACCTTCTCTGTAGATCCTTCTGAATGTAAGTAGCGTCTTTCTCACTGCTTTTTAATGTTCTTTCTGTTGGTATTTTGGTGAACTAGTTCGTTTCCTGATTTTTGAGCTGTGAGGTGTTCCTTCTATAGCATTGATTCCAGGTCTGTATGAAATTCATAATAATTTTAAACATACGTGGAAGAGAGTCACATGAGTCTTTCAATCTTGAGGACCTGTATTAGGTCTTCCTTTTTGCAGTGTAATACGAAGGTCTGAGGAAGGGCAACCCACTTGGAAACAGCAGGAGGAAGCCTAAATTGTCTGATTTCTTTAACAGAAAGAGATCCTAATCACCCTGAGCAATAGCCATGATTTTAGTGGAGGGGGCAGTGCTTTTCCTTTTGCCTACAGGGAAATGTCAGTTTCTCTTTGATAATGACATCATTCACCCTTTTTGGGAAGGGTGTGTGGCCATGTGCTTATGCCCTGACAGAAGCCAAAGGATCCCATTCTTCATGGGGAGGCCTGTGGTACATTTTCACATCCTTGCACTGTAGCAGACTTGGAAGTTTCCATTGTGTCCTGGGTTCAGCAGTAGCAGTCATTTTTCCCCTTCTTGGTAGCTGGTGCAGTGCAGTGTTTTGACTTTTGGCCTGGGAACAGAGCTGATAACAAGGATGTTTTGGTTTGGCCAAGGACTTTGTGAGCCTCATGCTCTGCCAGGGAGGAGGGGAAGCCGGGAGGAAGCAGAGACAGGACACCTGACCCAAACTGACCAAAGAGGTATTCCATACCACAGCACGTCATGCCCAGGAGGTAACTGAGAGTTAGCCGGAAGGGCTGGGAGACTGCAGGGTTAAAGGAGATATCGGTCAGTGCTTGGTCGGGCTGGGGGGGGGGCGAGTTATCGGTCGGCTGGTGGTGAGGTGTTGTATTCTCTTCCCTTGTTATTTCCTTTATCATTGTTATTATTGGTGGTAGCAGTAGTGATTTGTGTTATACCTTAGTTACTAAACTGTTCTTATCTCAACCCGTGGGAGTTGCATTCTTTTCAGTTCTCCTCTCCATCCCTCTGGGAGTAGGGGGAGGGCAAGGGGGGGGGGGAGAAGTGAGTGAAGGAGCCCTCTGCCTGGTTTTAAACCACGACACATTGCTGTGAGCGGCCTTAGCATTCTGCGTGTGTGCTAGCAATGTACCTACACACAGGAAACAGCTCTTCCTGGATTTGGAGAGATTGTGTGTGTGCGGTTGGAATTTTATTCTTTAGATTGCTTTTAAGCGGTTTTATTTTTCCACTGTTGGGATTTCCCCAAAGGGTCCTAGCCAATGGGTTAATCTCATTTCCATCCTGCAGTGTGCTGGCAGACCCTGCCTCAACCGCAACCGCTAGGTTCTTGTCTGACATAGCCTCTGCTCTCCCGGCAGGAGGAGCTAATGTGCAGTCTAACGAGCTAATAGGCGGACTGAACACAGCGAGACTTGCCTGTTACGGTCTTTACCTAGTGGCGGAGCTGCCCTTGCTCTGTGGTGTGTGGGTTCTGGTGGGGATCCTCTCTGTCGTGTCTTGTGTATTTCACTTACAAGAAAAAATAGATGTCTTTATTAAACCTATGTCCTTTAAGTACCCGACACTGGTTTTATCAGACTTGACAGAAAGAGTGAAGGGGGTTGTTTAAGGCTGCCAAATCATGTTGGGGTTATTTCTGTAACATGAAAACAGCATATGACATCACAGTAAACTACTGAGGTATAGGAAAGGAAAACCTGTGTGAGACATGTGGCAATTCAATATTGAAGTTGTAGGACAGCATATTCAAAGAAAAATCTCTTCAAAGTCCTGTAGCTTTTTGACCTGTCCTGTGTGACTGTCATTTCAAACTTGTTCAGTTTCATGAGAGATTTCTTTTTCTCCTGGTTTTTGCAGTTAGGAGCATGACAGCCTTCACCTGATGCTGTAACTGCCTGATGACTGTCTGATGACAGTAAGCTGTAACTGGAGGAAGTTGTTCTACCTTTGTGGTCCCCAGAGATTCAGTAAGTTATGGCAAGTGCTAAGCAGGGATGCCTTCCTCTGGGAGCCATTACCGGGAAGTGGACCTGCTCCACATTGGAGCAGGAGGGCGGGCTGGTGCAGCCTACCCTTCCATTGACAGGAAAGGAGACTCCAAAACCTGCCAATGCGGCTGGAACAGAGCATCCTCGTGCCTTAAGAACTTTGAGTTTGCATACTGGGCATTTCACTAGGGGGAGTGAATCCCTCCCCATAGGAGATGATCCCAATCACACTGGTGTTTTTCTGGATTATGAAGCAGGAATCCTTTCATTCTACAATGTCAGTGATGGCATGGCTCACCTGAACACCTTCCCTTGCAGCTTCACAGAACTCACGTACCCAGTCCTGAGGCTCTGGGAAGGATCTGCAGTTAGGTGAGTTCAGGCTTCAAGTCTGTATATAGTAACATATTGTATAAGTAATGTAACAATATTATTGCATATTGTTACAGCTGACAAGGTCAGATTTGGATAATAAGTGCACTGAGCAAATTATCTCATAATTAAATATCATCTCATAAAAATCAAAGACTGGCAACAAATGTTGGAATGGTCCCTTCACATAAAGCTGAAGTAGGAGCTTCTGCAGCCCCGCTCAGTAGCCATTAGCTAGCTGGTCCTGCGACAGAGACCCTGAACTGGGCCTCTGAATAGCCCTGTGCTTCCTGCACAGAGCAGAAGCATGAGGAAATCATGTACCATGCCCAAGAGAAGATGAGATGCCTGGAGGACTCACAGGGGCAATTAAAACACTAGGTCAGTGATTCATTTATTTGTGTGTCCTATTTGCAAAGGCTCTTTAACTGCAACTGCACAGGGGTATGCTCACATAAAAGGAGACAGCTCCAAGTTTCTGTACAGGTGTAGTTTATTTTTTTCCCAATACATTATTAAAGTTCCTGGACATTTCTGTCTACATTTACAGCAGGCTCTAGGACCAGCCCTGCTGGAGTGAAGAACCCCTGCTGCTTGAAGCAAGTCAGGTAATCCTGACAGTATTCAAATATTAAAGACCTTGAAACCATGACACTGGTGCTGGGAAAGGCAAGGTCTGACCATAGGCTGAAACACAGAAACAGTACCTTGTTTTAGAAGGTAAATTTATTTTTCCAATTTGAAACAAACAAAGAATCATTTAACAATTGAGCAGTTTTCTTAATGTAAGGCAAGCATACTGCATCAGTCAGAGCTCACATATGGTCAAGCACATGACTCAAAGGATCCCTGCTTCCCAGTTTAAAGATGCAAACACAGCTTCCTCGGAATTGCAGAAGGGTAAACATCTTGAAAGTCAACAGCTCACAGGCACAGAAACACCACCACCAAACTCAAGACACTTCATCAACTCATGACCAAGAGGTAGCAAGTTCCAAATAGCCATCACTAGGTAAATGATTCCACTAAAGAAAAATGGAGATGAATTATACCAAAGCATCTCTGTACTAAAGGTGCTGAGAGATTCAACTGCTGTCACAGGGCTCCTTCCCAGACAAAGGGAAGAGCAGCAAGCTGACAGAAGTAGGACAGCACTTCATACTTGAAAAGAAAGCAGCTGTGCTGCAGACACAGAGAACACAACAGCTGCACTGACCACAAGCTGAAGCTGTTATGTAATCTGGTCAAGCATCCAGCTTCAGCTGCCTCCAAAGTCAGGCTCAGGGGAAAGAACCCAACCCAATGTATTGGCTTAGTCCAGGAAAGGAGCTGCTGAATCTTCATCAGCCTTTGGCTTCCTACCAGAGAAGCTGCCCCAACATAGTATCCCCAGAGGTATCCAAATTGATTTGAAGATTCCAGGCTTCACTCAGTTCACAACAGATGCTTCTGACATGTTTCTGAAGCATACAATAAGTTTATTTCCACTGATCCATCTTGGATCTACTCTTCCCTCCTTCATCTGTCTGCTCGCCCTCATGCCTTTCAGTTCATGAAAACTACAAAAAGGCTCTTTCCTTGCCCCTTAAATGGGACCTTTCTACGTATTCTGTTTGCCTCCTTTCTGGGTACTGTCTCCTAAGAACACAGCTTTCTCAAGGTGCTCATTGTCCCCAGTGTTCAGATTCCTGCAACCCACAGCTTTATCTCAAGACTTTTTTATCTTACGGCTTAAGAAAAATCCATGAGGCTGCACTGTCTCAGCATATGTAAACTTTCATCTATCTCCATTCAACTCCAACTAGCATGCTGCTATCACAGGGTGAGGAAGAAATAGAGAGGAACACCAGAAGGTACAGAGTTAGAACAACTCAAACTGCAGACAAAACTACCATGGTTTACTGTGTTCTTACCAGAAAAGGAAGCTAGACAGTAGCAGACTGTGGCAAACCTCCAAATTAACCTAGGTTAAGAGGAACGGAGAAAGGTGGAGCACAGTATTTTCTAGATGCAATGTTATACAATTTCTAATAAAATTGCCCTCTGTAATTTATCTCCATTTGCTTCAGAAACTTGAGAACCTGAAAATTCTAACCTGCTTCAATCCTCATAATTACACTCTCCTTCTAATCTACCATGCTGCTATACTTAAATATATATGATGAAATACAGAATAGAGTGCTCTGATTTAGCACTTTACTTTTTTGATGTGATTTTCCACTGCATGCTCAGTGATGGTTTCGTCTTCTTCGATATTTGTTTTAACCTTCTGGCCCACCAGATCAAAGATTGCTTCTGGGGGAAATCCCCTGGGCTCTCCCACTTTCACTGTCAGCATGTCAAGTGTGAGTACTGCACCTTCAGGAATTGCTACTTTCGCCACAATGGATTTTCCCAGCTACAGGGGAGGAAAACAGAAGATTAAAAAATAAGTCAAGCACATTCCTAGGCTTAGTATAGCAAAAAAGGCTAAGGAATATTCTGCAGTTACTTGGGAAGAAGTTGTATAGAACTGCCCTCCTCATTAACTCCTATTCCAAATGAAGGCTGAGTGGTAACCTCACTGTAACTAGGCTCTCTTTCTGAAATCAGATAATGGATCACTGGAATTTTTCAGAATCAGAGTGGAGGGAATCTCATTAGACTAACTAGTATTCTAGCTTAGTGTAACAGCAGCTCATACACAGTCACACAGACCCAATATGACTATTACCAAGTACTTTGTACTGGGCACTGGTGAGGCTGCACGTTGAATCCTGTGTTCAGTTCTGGGCCCTTCATTACAAGAGAGATATTGAGGTGCTGGAGCGGATCCAAAGAAGGGCAACAGAGCTGGTGAAGGGCCTGGAGCACAAGTGTGATGGGGGATGGCTGAGGGAACTGGGGGTGTTTAGTTTGGAGAAGGCTCAGGGGGGACCTTATCACTGTACAACAACCTGAAAGGAGGATGCAGCCAGGAGGTGGCTGGTCTCAACTCCCAAGGAACACATGATATGACAAGAGGAAATGGCTACAAGCTGTGCCAAGGGAAGTTTAGACTGGATGTTAGGAACAATTTCTTCCCTGAAAGGGTGGTCAGGTTCTGGAACAGGCTGTCCAGGGCAGCGGTGGAATCACGGTCCCTGGAGGTATTTAGATGTAGAGGTGACGTGGTTTAGTGGTGGTCTTAGCAGTCTTGAGGCAATGGTTGGACTCAATGATCTCAAAACATCTCTTCCAGCATAAATGACTCCATGATTCTACCCAACTAAGTTAACTACTGGATGACAGACACAGAACTCCATTACAATGAAAACTGCCCACATTATGCTTTGATTAAAATAGTTCATGACTACCAGAAACACTCATTAGAAAATGACACGTCTGCACCAACTTCAGTGGTTCAACGTAAGCACTGTGCAAGCTGCTGGTGCAGAGTAGAGATTTCTGATTGCAGAGGCAGAAACACTGCTGCAATAAATCATTAGCAAGCTGCTTTTCTGAATACAGACTTATTAACCACAGGTCTAAGTAAGTTCCAGCTATACATGAAACAAATCAAAACTTACCTTTTCATTGCAAGCCATTTCACAAGGCAGTAGCCGTTTGACTGGAGATCCCATTGCTTTTTCCACAGTACGAATGGCTTTCACCAGCTCTGCCAATTCGTTTGGCTCCAGGGATGCCTGGTGGTCACTTCCTTTCCATGTTTTGTCCAGAGTCACATGGCGTTCCACCACTTTAGCTCCCAACGCAACTGCTGCCACCGAAATGGCGATGCCAGTTTCATGCCCCGAGTAGCCAATGGGGATATCAGGAAAAGCTGACTGATAGGCCTTGAATTGTGACAGAGTTGATCTGAATTACCAAGGCAGCAATTTCAAAGACAACGCAAATTTAACAGTGATAACTGCAATAAAAACCATGGCAAATTACTGTGCCACAAACCAAGCAGTCGGTTATGCTGAAAATTGATCTTTCTTGCATTCAACATGTCACACTGCATTACTGACCATCATGTTCTAAGAATTTCACTAAGAATTCAGTGCTGACAAGGAAAAGATGGTGTGTTTTATTCTACAACTTCGCTTATGCTTTTCCTTTTAATTCAGTTGTACTCCTCAAGGTCCTGAAAGGCTCAAAATGTAACTTTCATCACTGTCAGTTACACTGACAGAGTAGTGCTCTATTTTCATCCACAAACCCGGTGGACCGGTTAAACTTAACCTGTAGCCAAAGCAGACTCCTTCAACCACATATTTAAAATCTGAAGCAATCCTTTCACCCATGCATAAGGGACAGTCACTCAATCATAAAGTCAACTAAATGCAGTCACTAAAAATTCTACTAAAAAATAACAGACTATATGTGTATAAAGACAGGCAAGTGCTTGAACACTGGCCAATTTTGGAAAATTTCCTTGCATTTTTATTGGGCATATCCAAGAAATATTTTCAGCCAAGGAAACTATACATGGGCCTAATCCATTTTCTTCATTACTTTGATACTCACATGAAGAATTTTGAACACAGTTTTCTGTTCTAGCTCCCTGTTTAAAATTATGTTCTCAATTCCATGCACCTTCTTAATGGTAACAGTCTAAATAATTTTTCTTTGCACTGCCAGCAGTTGACCTGTCATATGACATAACCATATGTCATATTTTTCTGTTTAGTTGTGAATACTCCAGGTAATATCCTTTATAATGTTCCTCAAAGCTGAGTTCTGCTAAAAAAGGATCCAGTGGGTATCTTTACTTCAGCACTTGCATGAATTACAGGAAAATGACACATCTTTCTAACTTCTAAGAGGCAAATTCCAGCATGCCTAAGATCCAGATCTCAGTAAAAGTGGTACCGTGCACAGGGCACACTCTGGGTTACTCACTGACCGATATAACGCGGAGGTTGACATCCTCTGGCTGAAGCGGGTATGCACTGGTGCACTGCAGGAAGCAGAAGTTTGGATTGAGGGGCTTCACAATCTCATAAACCTGGTGCATTGTGTTCATTGACTGCATCCCGCTGGAAATCACCATTGGGCGACCTACCCATTAGAAAATATGTACATGTTTTGTCCTAGGTCTGTCAGAAAGCTATATAAGATTAAATTAAAATTTTGAGGTAAATTAATTCAGTTAAACAAGGAAAGAAAGCTGGGTGAATCTTTCCCCCTCCCCCTGCCTCCCTGAGTCTGAGGGGGATTTTCCTCTAAAGGAATTTTTAGACTTTTTTCCCAAAATCAGCTGGAGGAAATATCTAATAACTGATCTACTGGGGCACACTGGGGCAGCTCAAAAGAAAATGCATACCTTTCTTTGCAGTCTTCTCCA